TTCTTCTTTTCTTCTTTTATTACTGAGTCCAACAGAAGAGCAAAATGCATGACTGTATCTAAAGCATCAAAAAGAGGTTAAGGGAATGGAGTATGTAGCTTTCAAAATCCATCTAATTGAAATGCAGTTAAAAACTGAACAGGTAGTCTGTTTTGCCAGATTATATCCTATGTTGTTTTTTTAAATTACAGTTGCCAGATCCTTTGACAAAACATCTCTTCTAACACCACTCCAGTTGTGTTTTTGAAGCTACGATGACCAGAGGTTTTTGCTAAGCTGATATTGTTGGGTTTATCTACAATGTTTCTCCTGCCTACAGTTCCAAGTGTGGAGACTCAGGGATATGCAGCTGCTACAGTGCTTCAGAAACACCTCCTATACATATGTTTCCACTTCTGATTTTAGAGGGCTCAGGTTTTTTGTGCCTAATGGGAGAAGACTTGCTAATATATGAATTGCAGGAAACGCATACACCAGCCCTGCTCTTTCACTGGTTCTACTCTTCCGTCCCCAGATGGCAGAACCTCTGCTGGCTACACCAGTCGTGGGTTCATATCCAGAGCAAAAGTGAAAGCCATCAAGTACAGCATTGTAATTGTTCTTGGTAAGTATGAAAAAAAAAAGCCTGCAGCTGGGGCAGATGCTGAAGTTAGGGATCTCCCTTCATCACCAGCAAATAAAGGGCATGAAGTGGTTCAGCAAAGGAGTTTTACTTAGACCTCTGACTTGCCTTCTGACCTTGTCCTCTGCCTTCCTATGACTGACAGGATCCTATTTTAGGCACCCGATGTATGCAGTGATACACACAGCCAAGCTGCTAAAAGACCTGGCAAATGAGTTGTCTTTTAGGTTTAGAGAATACAGGCTGCTTCATTAGGGCAGGAACAGGAAGGAGAGGCAAGGGAAGCAGAGCAATTAAATTTGATGTCAGAAGCACGTTGCCTGCAGAGGTGGGGAGAACAAGCTCTCCTCGCCCAGCCAGGATGCAGATGACTCAGTGCAGGTGTCCTCCGTCTCCCAGGGAGATGACATTATCCTGATGGAATTAGGAGGCTGACATTTAATCTCGATAAATAAAGGCAACATCACACAGCACTTGTGATTAGCTGATGGAGACAGACAGGGAGATATCAGAAGCTATTTACTCCCCAGGGCACTGCAGGAGAGATTGCTCCTCTTCCCAGTCCTACACAAAACTCAGATTGATTGATACTGTGATAATAGCTACTACTAGAGGTGCTTAGTTCACTGGTTAGCTGTAGTGTCCTTGGACATGAGAGCTGCTGCTGTGATTCGCGGCTCTCAGAAATCCAAGGACACCTTCTCTGCATCTGAACTTATCTGTGTGGCCATCAGAGAAAGACTGTGCAAGAAACACAGAAACAGTCACTACCACAATGCCTCCAGATGGCAAGAGCTCACCTAGGTGCTCAGTATTTCAGAGGACCTTGATAATATCAGGCACCCAGCATCTCTCACTGTGCGAGAAAGTGAAGGCATGTAATGCTCATCGATTTCCATAAATCCACTTATAGTGGGGGATCTGTAGCCAGTGCTATGATCCATGCACTGACAGGGCACACTGTTGTTACTACAGCCCCTGTGTGTGCACACTATTAGGTTGGTTACTCCAGAAAACAGGAGAGCTTACTTCTTGCACATTCGCTGAGCACCCAGCTCTGTGCCCAGCACATTGGCAATCCAGGTGCCTGTAACTTAGCTGAGTGAACTGCCTGCCCCAGCATGCTCAACACTCCTTGTGAGAGCAGTTGACGTAGGCATTTATGAGACAGATTATTCCTGAATGCCTGCAAAAAAAGCGAAACCCATGGCCTCTTTTTCTACCACCTCTTAACAAAAGCTACGAATGACGCAGCCCTCTCAGACTTGTTTCTCCAATAGCAGTAGGGGAATCGTAGAGTCTTCCTACATTCCCTTACTACAGGGCACCTCCAACCAGCATGCAAAACGGTACGTCAGCCTGCTGTAATTCAGAGTGAAAGTGTCATTCCTTGCTTCTAGGTGCCTAAGAGCCTTTTCTTAATAGGTGGCTGTGATAGGCAGGGCTGTCACAGAGCAGCACTTTGGTGCTGTCTGCGTTTAGACGGGCTGCTCACTCAGGGGACCATTAAAAGAGAGCTTTTCTGTAAGTGATGATGCTCTAACTGGCTACCTATTTACCCTTTATGTGTGTGCAGCGTACAGAAGTGCCTCAATACATCTAGAGGGAGCACTCTAAGCACTTAAAGGAGCACACGTAATGTATTTTATGGGCATTAAAATAAAAATGAAGACAAATAAAAACACAATTTAATAACTATCCTCTTAAATGAGACCCTGCGTAGGGAGCAATTTCTCTTGCATGAACAAATACTTATGTGTTATGACAGTCTCTATTTGTGCGTATGTGATTAACTCCCTAAATAACCATACTGTCTAATGTCAAGCTCTTCTGTCTCTCCTGCAGCATTCGCTCTCTGTTGGAGCCCCTACTTTCTGTTTGATATCCTGGACAACTTCAACATCCTCCCCGAGACCAAAGAGCGCTTCTACGCATCCGTGATAATTCAAAACCTGCCAGCCCTGAACAGTGCCATCAATCCCCTCATCTACTGCCTCTTCAGCAACCACCTCTGCACCCCCTTTGAGTACCGTCCCTTTACTCTCACCCTGACTATCCCAAACAGAGGGGAGAGATAAGCACAGCTGCTGAACTCATCCCCTATTTTCACCCATTTTAATCCTGACCATTCCTTATTTTCCTTAGGGAGAGAAGAACACGAAGGTTGGAGGGGACTTTCCGGGACCGGAGTGATGGAGGGCAGGAGATGCAGGTCCTGTCCAAACCAGAATACATCTAGCACAGGTAATGCCCTCAGAAGCACAGCAGGACCCATGCTGAGGAGAGCAGAGGTTTCCCCAAAGGACAGACAGACACCAAGCATGAACTGACTGGACTGAACCTGTGCCTTGCTGCAGTTGAACAGCACAAGCACTTGGGACCAGCACTGCACCTTCAGCTATCACACTCTGCCAGGACCAAGCCAGCCACAAGGGCATTGCATGCTACTTTTGTGATGGCTCATTTTAGCCATCTGTTTTCAAGCAAGATGTAACACATCCGTACTCCAAATGGCAAAAAGCAATGTAAACAGTGTCTAGTCAAAGCCTCTCTGTTCTTCAAGAGTCTCTTGCAGCCATCCAGTACCATGCAGCTCATAGAATTGGTGAAGTGTTTACAAGTAGTTACAGGAGAGTATCCTGCTTAAAATGAACCTAGGAACTTTTCAAATGAGAATACACCACTGTCACTCTAAGTTTATGCCTTGGCTTCACGTGCAACCACTGACAATGCCCTACCAGAAAGGAGGGGACTGTAGGGATGGATGGTTCTCTCCCTCTCACCTTGCCATCCTCCCATACACACCATCTCTGTAGCTCATCCTCCCATTCCCTTGCAGAACTTCCCTGCTATTTTATCTTGGTTCCCATACCTTTACTTGCCATGACAAATATGGGTGATAAGTTTCTTCTGGGCTACTGTATAATAAGATGTCAGCCAGCCCATCCCAAATCCTACTGTTCCTCAACTGCTCTGCTGCTCACATCCCTGTGACAAAAGCCCAAGCAGCCTTTGGGGGATTCTACGCTCATGCCACATGAGTACACTTGACATACAGGACACTCCAGCAGTGCAGATCAATCTTTCCACAACATAAAGGTATTTCTCCCTGTCTACATAAGAGATGATATATAGCTCTAGATTCTCTACATAAGAGATATACCTAGAGGTATTTCCCTCCCTACAAAATTTTTTAATGTCCCTTAAATCACAGAGGGAACCGTATACATCTTTAGAGCAGCTCAAAGCTGGAGAAAAGCATGGGTTAAATTGTAAAACTCAAATTCTATTTTTAAAAATTACTGGCTGATGTTCCAGTCTTATAAATTCATTGTGGGGTTCACAGAGCACCAGGCAGCGCTCTGTGGCACAGTATCCTGAGCTGCTGGACATCCCCTCCCTCAAACCCTTGAGTTTGAATACAAATGTTCTCAGTGTTTTAGCAACTGAGTGAAGAATATGAACGTCAATGCTTATTTTACCGTAGGTCAGCTTGAATTGTTTGCATGATGATGCGCTCTAACCAGCTGCACAGCATAGTTTTGCTTTTCCCTGTGCAAAATTTGCATCCTTACATGAGTCTGTTTAAACAGGTTTGTTGTTTTTTTATTTTATGATGCTGCTGCTTCACACTGAGTTTATTCGCTGCGAAACAAGAACTGAATAAAATTTACTTCATTACCTATGTTACAAAAATGTTTTTTCCTAAGCAGAGGATATATAAAATCATGTGGCTTTATGTTCTTAGGAAAATGAGTAGGGTTTCTCTTTTTATTGTTATGAAGTTCTGTCGCATATAAATGTTGGTGTTAAAACCAGCTTAATTAAAACCATGAATCCACAATACCCTTTGCAGCCCCTACCTATGTATATAGACTGTCTATAAGAACCAGAAAACTTTTTTTTGTAGGCATCTCATAACATTTCCATAATTGGACTGCTTGGTTTAATCTTCATAATGATGTTGGGTTTTTTCCCCCCCCTACTATTTTTCATCTGACACAATTACACCAGTTGCCTACTTTTGAGCATTCAATGCAGTTTGCAGACTTAATACCTGGAAATCAGATACATTTTTTTTTTTATTAGTACTTTGGTTTGCAAACTTACATGCCTCGGTCATCGTCCACACTCCACCTCCCAAGACATATATATTTGGTCAGCATATGGATTAGCCCACCAAAATTAAACATATTCATAAATAAATGTAGGAATCCAGCCCTGAATGGAGTCATTACTCACTTATTTTTCAAAGAGATGGTATCTTTCAAGCACTACTGTGTCAGGTGCCATTTATATGTTGTTCCTGTCACTTTGCCTGGGGCCCTGACTGCAATTCCCTTCTCCATTAGGAGATATTTCTCTTTAAATACCCTCCTGTATTTCACTTGTCTGCACCCCTTCTGAGCATGTATTCAGAAATAATTTTTCCCATTTTCTTCCTGCTTCATTCCTGTGTAGCACAGGCAAATTTACTAAGCTCTTATGCTTTTTTGTTGTTGTTGTTGGAAGATAGCATGCATTATACTTAAAAACTAAAAAAACTGATTTTTGCCATTAGCCCACAAAATACATTCACAGTCCTTTGTCTCATGAGTGAATAATTTGGCAGCTTTCATTTAACTCTGGTGGATTTCTAATTTCGTGTCCACAACCCAATCTTCACCTGTTGATTTAATTGTGATGCAATTGTTTAGAAAGATCCCAGAGTAACCAGGAGAGGTAATAAATGGCAACGCCAGGGTCCAGATGCCAAGAGACAGAGTCTGGAACAAAAGAATGTGGCACTCAGTCGGGTTGTTGCCTGTGACAGTCTGTGAGTTGTGTGTTGCATCTTCTCTGACACTTCAAGACCCAGCTGAGAGATCCTTCTGACGTGCCCACAGTAACCATAGATGTCAACAGGCATGCTTGCTGGGATGTAGAATACCTTCTGTTTATAAAGTCCTTTGTGATCATAGATTCCTAGGAGTCGTGAAAATGAGATATTCAACCCTCAGACAAGTCACACCAAACAGCCTAAAACTAGTATAGCTTTCAAACTAATAAGTAATTCAAGCAAGTAAGAAATACATTTTTCCCATGACAGGCACAAAGAAAATATGAATGAGAAAGCTATCCAGCTTTCATTCATTTCTGGATGCAGTTTAAAATTAAATTCTCAGTCCAGATTTCCATCTGTTGCAAAAAAGTGTAAAGTGGTATTTTGTCCATATTGTTGTTTTAGTCCTTGAAAACTCCATTCACAATTTAATTTGAACAAAAGCTAATGCAGACAAGAAAATTTAAGATCCAAACCACTGGGTAGGTATAATCTAGTAATGGAGTACAGTATTCCACAATGAAATTGTGGAAGAATAACAAAGTGAAAGCCTACCCTGAGGCATTTTGCATCCTCCTGCATACTTCTGGCTGAGATCTTAGAGGCACAGATGTTATCAGCCAAGAAAAATGGTGGGCTAGTCAAGAAAAATGATATCCACTGTAGCTGATGGAGCCAGATTCTGTGCAGATCTCAAGGATCTGAACACATAAGGTCCACACACTCCTTTCACTGAATCAACCCATGCACCCCACGACCACAGGCCATGCTCTCACCTCTGCAACAATTTATGCCCTTGGGAAAAAGAGATGACAGGCACCCCCTATCCCTATTCCTGCCTGCTTTCAGGATAGGAGACACAGAACATTTGATGGTGCTTGCCTTGCAGGGTTCCCAGGAGGGCTAACATTTCTCTTTTGTGTAATGCCACAGCACTCCATTTTTGTAGCAGCAAATGGATTCTGTAGTACCTGCAGTTAAGCAGATGTCAACCTTAAGTTTCTGGAACAGATTACCTTTGGGAAGAAGTAGGTGCACACAGGGTACCGTGCACGACAGCTGCTCGGTGCATTTCTTTAGGAAAGAGATGTTTTCTAGAATAAAATTCCATTCCAAATATCTGCCTCTGAGATTCGTGTATTTTCTATATGCTTGTCTATTTTATTTTACATCTATACTTCACAGAAAAAAGAAAAAAAAAAAAAACTATGGCACAGAATGATCTGTCTCCCACAGAACAAAAACAAGATTTACATGGAAAGCATAAATGAGTGAAGGTCCCTGTTCTACAAGTCACCTAGACACCTAAATATGAATTGTTTTAATGGAAATCAGGCTATAGAAACAGGCTTACATGGTTTTATAGTCCTGGATATTGCAAGCATCAGACCCATATGGGTTGAAGTCCCTAAGGTCACATAAGCAGAAGTACACATGAAACTAGTACTTATTTTAGTTCAAACTCTGGTACTTCAATACAGGAAGGTTTTATGGTTGTTAGGACCTTATGTTTTCATGACACTACAAGACACCACAGGAAAACAGCAAAATCCTTTCTAAACCAAAGGCCTCTGTTTCAAGCGTAGGAACAAATGGCTTCAATAAAAGATCATTTTAAACAACTTCAGCAGAGAATTTCTGAGGAGGAGAGCTTTAGGGCAACACCAACCGGAGATTCCTGAGAACGGTCTCTTGGCATTCTCTGAACAGGGAAGACACTTGTTGGCAAGATACCTCAAGTTATGAGCACCTTCAGTAGGAATTACTGTGCTGTTTGTACAGGTTTGTTTCACACGATAACCAGAAGGCATAACACTACCTGCCAATTCACCTTACCCATCGCAAGGACTGCATGTACTCTTCAGAAGCACTTGATGAAAACAGAAGAACTACAACAGGAATCGCAGAAAGCACAGAAAAAAAAAGGATGTATGTATGTATTGTTGGGGTGTCTTTTTTTCCCAGTGAGAAATAATTTCATGATAAAAATAAACTACAGTAAAAACTATCAGACTTTACCTTCCAACCAAGAGCCCAGTGTTCACAGAGTTCTCCATTTATTCATCAACCTTCAGAAAAATGATTGATTTGGGGAGTAGATGCAATTTTTACTGTAAGGTAACGCGTGCTTCATTTTCTTTTGGCAAACTGCAATTTATTTTGCACAGCATTCAATTTAGATAAGCATTAGAGCTGAATGGTTCATCAGATAATCTTTAGTCACATTTGATGGCATCTTATTCTGAGTACGCATAACATATGGAGTAGAGGGTTAGACATACAAACACAGGCATGGGTTTACAAATAGGCACTGCTGGATTCTCATACTGAGTTGCTTATAGTGGTACATAATTACAAGCCTAACTCTTAATTTAAACTCAAGTGAAACAAATGCAAATGGACTAAAATTCAGCAGCTTTAATGATTCAATAAAAAAAAAAAAAAAAAGGACAGTTGAACATTTCTCATAAAGAGCTGAATGATCTTTAGAACTGTATTAGCAGAAATATGACATTATGTACAATACTGTGTGCTAATAATCAGTTACTTCAATCATGAGAAATTCTACTATAAACTGGGAGCTCATCAGCTGGAAATGTCTGAGGAGGAGAAAGTGCTGAGAGTATCCAGAGGTCAGATGATGCCCAGTCATTGACAACAACACAGGGTGAGGGGCTAATATAATCCAATGTGCATCTGCTGAGGCATTTATTAGAAGACCTAAGGCTCCAATTGCATTATTGTGAGCCTTCATTAAGAACATTCTACACAAAGAAGAAGAAGAGACACGGAACAAAGAAACCTGAGGTTATAGTTTTTTGGGGCTAGTAAAATGAGAAGTTAGCACATCAGGAACATTGAACGGGGAAAGGACAGAGAGGAGACAACTAAAAATGCATAATGATTGTGCAACAAATGCCACCCCCTGGAATAATCTTACTGTGAATAAATTTGAATATATTTTAGAGACACAAATCAGCTTACTCAGCAATATTGCATGGATCAGCAGCAAGATTTTGGGAGTAAGAGATGTATCCTATTTTGTGTTACAGCCATTTACCAAGATTTAACAAGATAAGGCTCTGTGCTTTATGGAGAAGGGAAAGGGAGGAAATGGCCGATTCCTTTAGTTTTGCATCAAGTTAATGGCCCTACCTTTGCAGTGGTACAGTGAGGAGGTTTTCTGTGAACACTACTGTGGGTGACATTTATTCTGAGACCTCATGTCTTCTGCAGTTAAACTGGTGGAGCTGGGAAAGCATACAAACCTCCAGACACTTGCATGCCCTCCCAGATCACATCACAAGTTTGAGAAAAGCACAAGGTGGCAGCTGACCTTTTAACTGATGCTCAGGCTTTCAGGTTGAGCCTCACACCGGCTATAGCACAGTTATACAAGCATTACTTTCGGAACCCTAATCCCTCTCCTCTTCGCCCAAGACACTGAGATTCACACAATTCAACTTCACACAGCAGCCCACAGCCATGCTGGAGGCTTTCACACTACTTGGCTCCATGGCTCCCAGCAGCTGTGTTGCCATTCAGCTAACTTCATGTGTGCTCATGGTTCTACAAAGAAGCAATTAAGAGCATACAAACTGGCATGCAGTTACGCATGAAATGACTGGAAAACTGTACTTCCTGGGCAGTACAGAGTAATGCCAAAGGGAAAAATCCACGTAGCTGTAAATTAACAAAGTGTCCTCAACTTAAAGGATTTGGGTCCCTTAAATGCATTACACAGAAAGTTAAAGTGAAATCAGGCTCCCTTGGTCATGCTAAAAGCTAAGAGGTACATTATGAAGCTATCATAGAGCGAGAAAAGGCTTTAAAGTGATCAAATGGGAAAATATCACTAACTCCCATTTGGAGCCCATAGCTTAATCTCCTTATTTGGGAAAGAAGGATTACTCCAAGAGTCTTTTTAAAAATCTAGATAGGGGAATTAGTGATATGCACTGACAGCAAGTGGGTGAAAGACATGTTCACACGGCACCAAAATAATAATTTAAAGGCGACTTTGTTTTGCAGTGTTTATAAAATGACATGAATGTAGGATAATTTGTAGAGGAAAGATAAATGCACTCACTCTTTTGGGAATACTTGGCAATTCCCCTGAGTGTCCCTCAGAGAATGGGCTGTTAATGTGGTTATTCCTATGGGGTAGGGTCATCCCTAGTCATCTGGGAACATTTACTGTCAGACAAACTCCTGCAGGAAATTGCTGTTTTTGAGATAACTTTGATTCTGAAGGTTTTTCCCTGCAGAGAACATCTCTGGGACCAAACAGAAGGAGGAGGCATCTCAGCAAGTCCATGGCCCTTGAGGTAGTGAGAGCTCCAGGCTCAGCTTGCGACTCCACATTCAAGGGAGTGGACCCACTCCTGAGGCTGCCTTTGCTTTCTCATCCTTTTTTGGTTGCTCCCCTCTTTCTCAGCCTACCTCCCTTTCCACAGGATTTTTGTGTGTCTTGGGACTTCTCATTGAGGATGGAAAACTGAATTCTTAAAACATAACTCAAAGTATTCACAGAAATTGTTTGACCCAGGAGTCAGTTATTGTCTCTTAGCACAGCTTCATAACTTTCAGTTGAAGCTATGTTTGTTTTTTTTTTTAATGAGGCCTACATTCATGCATCAAGGAACATACAAGAGAACCATTCTGAGCTATCAGCAACCATACAAAACCAGGTATAATTGTCAGTTCATAAGAATAATTGTAAAAGGTCATTATTCTACCCAGTTGGATATTTGCAGAAGCCTGAAGGCAAATAGGTTGCTATATTTTGAAAGTTATTTAATCAGTTTAATTTGCTTAGATAAAGCAACATGAACTTTAGTTCACATGCTAGAGGGTGCCTGTTAGGGGACAAGTGAATATCAGTGATAGACTGACCCATACTTAGCACGGGTCAGGTAGATTCTTTTTCTGCTTCTAGTAGGAGTTCAAGAACACAAGACCCCTTTAACATGCTTGCTCTTACTATTTCAGTACTGCGCTAATTGAACTGGCATCTCAATTCAAACTGACATTTTAAAAACAGGTCACAGAGATTTTTCAGGTCAGCCAAGCAAAACACAGAGGAAATACTGCACACTGACACAGAATCATTTAAGAAAACCTAATAAATAGGTTGGGAGATATCACTTCAATATTGAGAGAAGTGAAAAAGTAACACATTTCCTAGAAGCACAAGTCATTCCTGTTTCTTGAAAGATTGTCCTGATACCAAGAAAGCATTTGGAAGATTCAAGTGACGCTACAAGCAGGAAATCATCAAACACTAGCAGCCTAGAAACAAGTACTCAGTGGCACTATGGGGACATAGGGTACTCCAAGACTACTGCATCAACTTCCTGAATGCTCTTGGTTTCATTATAGTCTCAGCAGTGAAATAACATAATTCCTGGTTCACTGAGTATGCTTGGAATTACATCTATAGGGACTTAGATTGCTTATAGGAATCTATAAGGACAGGGTAAGACCTTCCTAGTCAAGATAAGATTTCCAATGAATTTTGCTTCTTCTCACTCTTAACTGGGACTGAGCAGCACAAACACCATGGGATCTGTTTCAAAGATCCTAACAGGCAGAAAGTCTTAGAGTCAGTAAAATTCACTACCTTGGTCTCAGGCCATGATGAAAACCATCTGACTTTGGAGTATTTCTCAGTGCCAGTGCCTCGATGAAGAGTTCAAGGAGTCACTGTTGCATTCTTTCATTGCACCAAGGGAAACTGCAGCCTACATCCCAGCCTGGGGAGAGAGGGAAGCAGGCTGGGAGAAAGTCTGGGAAAGATTTACTCACAAGTGAAAATCCATACCCAAGCCTATCAGTTATGAAACCATCTATGT